ACCTCTCCAACATCTGTTGCTTCTTGCCTTGTCCATTTTTGCCATTCTAACTGGTGTAAGGTGGTATCTCAGTGTGGTTTTGATTTGCATTTCCCTGATGGCTAATGATGATGAACATTTTTTCATGTGTCTGTTAGCCATTTGTATGTCTTCTTTGGAGAAGTGTCTGTTCATGTCTTCTGCCCATTTTTTGACTTGATTATTTGTTTTTTGGGTATTGAGTTTGAGAAGTTCTTTATAGATCTTGGATACCAGCCCTTTATCTGTAGGCTCTTCAATAAGTGGTGCTGTGAAAATTGGACAGCTGTATACAGAAGAATGAAACCCGACCATGCTCTAACACCCTACACAAAGATAAACTCAAAATGGATGAAAGACCTCAATGTGAGACAGGAATCCATCAAAATCCTAGAGGAGAACATAGGCAGTAACCTCTTTGACATGGGCCACAGCAACTTCTTTCAAGATACATCTCCAAAAGCTAGTGAAACAAAAGCAAAAATGAACTTTTGAGACTTCATCAAGATAAAAATCTTCTGCACAGCAAAGGAAACAGTCAACAAAGCAAAGAGGCAACCCACAGAATGGGAGAAGATATTTGCATTTAATTTTTTAAATTATGAAAGTCAGCATACATACACAAGAACATATGTAACACGAATGTATAAGTAAGGAAAAGCAATAAAATGAACCGGGGGTAAGAAGGGAGAAAAACAGAAATTAAGGCATCCAGATACCTACAGGGGAAAACACATCCCTGTTAGAAAATTATATTGGAAAGCTGTATTTTTTAAATTATGTCTTAGCTTTCCCTTCAATTACTAGGAATCAGTGATCGTTTTATGATGGAAACCTGCTTTCCCCCTGTGCTTGGCCAAGCTGACTTCAATCCGGTGTGGTGATCGTATGAATACCACGATATATTCTGCAGAGGTGGCGAGGACCATATTACCTGAGGTGACAGCCAGGTAGCTGACTGGAGACAAAGAGAAAAACAGAAATGAGAGTCGGGTGAAAGAAAAGGAGACAAGGGAAACGTATTCTATACTCTGCAGCTGCTCTCTGCTCAGCCCCCAGTAGAGCTGTGCGTCATGTTTTGTCTCTTGGTTTTGCACATTTTCTAAAGAAACTTCCCCCTTTTATTTTAAGTAAGAGAAGGACTTAAGTATTCCAGAAATCAAAGGAGCCTGATATTTCATTGAAGGTTGGACATCTACTTACAGGAGAAAAACGCTAGGGTGCTTGTCTGCTTTTGTTTTGGTTTTAGCCTATATATTTTACAAAAATATGTCCATTGTATATTCAAGGTTTTAATGTTTGCTTTAGTTAAAAAGAAAATGACACCCGAAACAGAGCAGTCAAAGCAAACCAGAAGTGAATGTTAACAAGCATTACAGGAAGTCGACAGGAAGCCAAAAGTGTGGGTATGGAAGTGAAAAACTTTTCAAAAAACACATCAAGAGCATAGCAGGTGAGGGGGGTAGTTTTCTTAGCATAAGTCAAAGAATATAAATCACTTCATGTACGTTTTCCCCCAGTTTGTTATGTGTGGTAAAATACATATGACATAAAATTTATCATCTTAGCCGTTTTTAAGTATACAGTTCAGGGGTATAAAATCCATTATGTATCTCCATCTCCACCATCCATCTCCAGAACTCTCGTCATCTTGTAAAACTGAACAAGAACTCCCCACACCCCTCCCCATCCCTCCCCAAGCCCCTCGCAACCACCTTTCTACTTTCTTTATGATTTTGACTACTCTCAACATGTAAGTGAAATCATACAGTACTTGTCTTTTTATGTCTGGTTTATTTCACTTAATATAACATCCTCAAAATTCATCCATGTTGTAGCGGGTGTCAGAACGTCCTTCCCCCCCCCTTTTTTTTTTAAGATTTTATTTATTTATTTGACAGAGAGAGAGAGAGGGACAGCTAGAGCGGGAACACAAGCAGGGGGAGTGGGAGAGGGAGAAGCAGGCTTCCCGCGGAGTAGGGAGCCCAATGCGGGGCTCGATCCCAGGACCCTGGGATCACGACCTGAGCCGAAGGCAGACGCTTAATGACTGAGCCACCCAGGTGCCCCATGTTATTCCTTTTTAAGGCTGAATAAGATTCCATCATATGTGGATAGCACCTTTTGTGTACTCATTCATCCACTGATGGACACTTGGGTTACTTCCATGTTTCAGCTATTCTGAATAATGCTGTATAAAAAGATTCTTATTCTCCATGTGAACCGAGCTGCCCACATCAGAAGTCTCCAAATAGACCATTTCTCATTAAGTTATTAATATTTTGAATAACTAACCTAGGGCCCTAGAATTTATGTAATTCTCATCTTTAGAGCATCTTTGGCAGATATTCTTGGCCTCTCAGAACCAAAGATTGTGATTTGGGCTTTTTTTAAATTAATTGAAGACAAAACTGATTGTTCACTCAAGAGGCTATTGATAGACATCTACCAAAAGCAATTTTGGTATTATTTATCCGGGGCAACTGATCTCATTTGGCCAAATCTATTAGTAGAATTTGAACCAATGTCTTGAACAATGTCTTCTTCCCTATTGGAGATGTGAGCCACTCTAGGATAGGGATTTTCAGATGCTTTCTTTGTGTCCCTGGTATAGACTACCACAGGTCTCAGGACACAGTGCCTTTAGCTACTTTAACCCGGAGGTAGGTACCTAAAGATAAAAAGCATCTTCCCCCACACCCAAGTATTCACATCTTGTCCTTGCTTACACATTCCTTTGTCTTGTACTAAGTGTTATAACCTTGAATCAAATAAACAAAACACTGGTTTGTGACAGAAGCAATCAGCACATGATCTACCAAATAAGATGGACCTCCTTGGATATTAGCCAAAGTAAGGTCTCTGTCTGGCCTTTATTACCAGATTCTCCCTTCTCCCCAACTCCACAGCCCCAGCCCTGGGCCCACAATAATCCCCCACACTCTAAGATGGCGCACCATTAATTTCTAGAGGGAACCTCTCAAGTCACAACCCCACTTGTGAGTTGCCTAAGATAACTGCCCACTTCCATGGGAAAAGCTTACTACATGGTTATTGAGGGAAATGCTATTTGGACCCTGAGGTGGACAGAGATCCAAAGGATGGTTGCAGTGGATGCTTTGAATGGCTGGGAACCAGAGTGGATGGGGACTGGATTCTTCTGAAGGGTTCTTAGGACAAAGAACATAGGTTGGTGAGTTTGACCAATACGATATGGAGGAATTTCGAGGTAAGAGCAGTGTGTGGGGGAGGGTTTGTAGGCCTTTGTCGCTGGAGCAAAGAATCAGTCAGAAGACAGTTTTTAGATGAATGAGCCCAACTGGGCTGGTGGGAGGGAGCCAGGCAGGGCTGAGACTAAGGCTACTTCGTTAATTTTTAATTCCCTTTTTCCTTCCTCCCTCCTTCTGTTTCCTTTTTACCCCCAAAGATATTCACATTTTGGCACTGGTTACCAATTCCTTTGTCTTAGGAGTCACAGTTACTTGAGGATTTATTTAGTGAATGTCAACCAGCACATATCACATGTTAGGTACAGCGTCATGGAGAGCAGAGATGGACTAGTCTGGGACCTTCTCCTCCAAGTGCTTACAGTCCCCCAAAATGCTTGGGATGGTATGCAATAATTGGCAAATTTTATACTCAAATGTTTTTGCCTGTTTTCTTTTGATTTGCATTCCCTATTTCTGTTTCTCTACCCTTTGTTTTTTGTTCTGTTGTGGGTTTTTTTGCTACCCTTTGTTTTAAGCATTGCTTTTATCCCTCAGAAGGCACAAGCCCAAAAAGAAGATGGTTTTCCTGGCTCTCAGTTTGAAGTTTTAACCAATCATAAGAAAGGTAAGATACGTTTCCCTTTTCCTTCTCAAACTGAGAGTAAAACTCAGGGCTGCTTTGTTTCTCCTATACTTGTTTAATTAAGATCAACTAAGATAAAACTTGCCTGCTAATTTGAGATAAAACATGCACTGTTTTAGCCTCCTACTTTGTTTTTACTCATAGGGAAGGTTCCAGGCTTTCTGGTCACTCCCATGGAATTGACCGTCATTGTCACAAATGCACCTTACTCTCTCCCCCACATTCCTTCCCCTCTGCAATTTTCATCTTCCTCCTCCGAACCTCCTCTCATCAGCTCCTACCAGCTACCTGCCTAGGGTCATAACTTTGTTCTATGCCTTTTGATTTTTTTTGTTGCCTTATCCTTTCCCCCTTATGAATTGGTTCTGATAACTGTGCCCCCTGACTCTTGGTTCTTTGGGACACCAGGCTGTAGCAACTCAATACACTTCTTATCTTGTATCTCCCCCTAATTTCTCACATGATTATTCTGTCTCTCTTAAGCAACCCCTGGGTAGCACCATGACTTCTATGTCCCTTATACCTACAGAAAAATACTGGACGTCTAGCATGTTCTCTGTTGTCTCATTCCTGGTCCTCCAGGAAGAACCCAACTCATCCTCCCCCCCCCCCCCCCCCCCGCCCTCCCCACCCCCACCCCTGCCTCTTACATACTTTGAAGCAGATGTCTGGTCCCAGGCTAAACAGAGTCAGCCTCCTCAGTGGGGGAAAGGTCAAATCTGCTCAGACATGTTAAGAAGACATTTCACAAGTGTTTGGCTGAACTCATGTACTAATATCTAAATATTGAGTAATATAGAGTAAAAAATTAAAAGGCAGCGAAACAACCCTTTGGTTCATCTTTGAGTCCCTTGAGGTGTTCTGAAATCTTCTTTTTTTCATGTTGATTTAAAAAAAAAAAAAGCTAAAAATGAGATCTAGCCTAGATTTTGCCCAAGATGAGGCTTTTCCTATTTCCTTGGCTGAGGAATGAGGATTCTGACTCTCTGGAAGGACCCTTTGAACTCTGGAAGTTCAACGGATTCTACCTGCTGCTCGGAGCTTCCAGGCAGGGGCCCCTGGCTGCTGGCGATGCCCCGTGTGACATCACAAGGGCTTTGTGACACAGTCGATGCTGCATCTTGTGTAATACCACGCAGGCAGGGCAGCTGCGCCCAATCGGCTATGTGCTCAGAATCCAGGCACTATAAAGTCAGCCATTCAGAAAAATATCTCATCTTTCAGATCATTCAACCTAGACTCCTGCCTAATTTCACCTGTGACTCAGCTTAGACAATTTATCAACTACAGAGCAGTCAATGTCTTAATGGTAGGTGGGGGAGCTCGGTGTGCTGAAAAGTGGGAACAACGTTGGGGGGCTCCTTCCATCTGGAATCAGTGGAAGCCGCGCATCAAATCACTGAATCTTGAATGGAATGCTGGCTCTGGGGATTAGAATTAAGAAGATCTGAGTTTTGGGGCACCTGGGTGGCTCAGTCGTTAAGCGTCTGCCTTCGGATCAGGTCATGATCCCAGAGTCCTGGGATCGAGCCCCGCACCGGGCTCCTTGTTTGGCGGGAAGCCTGCTTCTCCCTCTCCCACTCCCCCTGCTTGTGTTTCCTCTCTCGCTGTGTCTCTCTCTGTCAAATAAATAAATAAAATAAAATCTTAAAAAAAAAAGATTTGAGTTTTAAAAAAGAGGTTATGGCTACCACTCTAGAGGTAGGCTGGGCATTTATAATGACTTCAGTTCTCGAAAATCCAATTATTTATAGAAAATTTAATTGTGACATCATCTAAAGCATTGCCTGTTTTTCTGACTCTGAAAAGACACTTTAAAACAAACCCAATAACTGAATCCAGATTTAGTTTAGGGTTTCGGTTTTTCAGTGTGTACCCGTATATGCGCATTTGTGCATTTGGTGGGAGTGGGGGTGGGGATGGGGGAGGGGAAGGGGAGAGAGGTGAGGCGCATAGTCCAGAGAACCAGGGGGAGCTCTGCTTTAAGAAACTGTAGTATAAGAAAACTTACATTCGTAAAAATACAAAAATTGGACGAGGGTAATTTTCCTAAGTGTTCACATGTAGAGAATTTCCTCCAAATTTTCTTAATATAGTAGAATCCTCCTAGAGAATATGGATTTATTTCCTTCTCCAGCGCTAACCCTATCATGAACCCACATGCATATGTTGTCCATTCAATTTGGGTGCCTCCCCTCGCTTACTTTCTTCCTTAGTTTCTAATTGCTTTTGGTGGGTTTGGTGGAAGTTAAAATAGTCTCAGCAGGTGACATTTATTGGAAGTAGTGGCGGTAGTAGAAGTTAACCAGCTTCATTCTCTTCCCACTCGTTTCAGTCCATTCATTTCCCCCAGTTAGAGGCTACCTTCTCCTCTTAAACATTTGACACTTTTTCTTTGCATAATCAAAGATTTCGTTTTTATTTTTTAAAGATTTTATTTATTTATTTATTTATTTATTTGAGAGAGAGAGAGAGAGAGAGCACAAGCAGGGAGAGCGGCAGGCAGAGGGAGAGGGAGAAGCAGGCTCCCCGCTGAGCAGGGAGCCCAATGAGGGGCTCAATCCCAGGACCCTGGGATCATGACCTGAGCTAAAAGCAGACACTTAACTGACTGAGTCCCCCAGGCACCCCAAAGATTTCTTTTTTAAAGTGTAATTCGTCCAATCAAGGAGACTTCACTGTGCAATGAGGATTTTGTCAGGGTGTAAAAGCCTATGTCTTGGAATGCTCCAATATGAATAAACACCCAATCCAGTTTTATACCCCCTCCCCTGATCTAGGATCCTCAGGACTAAGCCCATGCACAGGCCCCTGATTCCATTGAGTCTTGATGCCTGGGGGGGTTCTGCAGTTCCTTGGGGACACTTTCTTTCCTCTCTGAGCTGGGCCCAGCACCTTCCCAGCCAGGCTATGCTGTAACTTGAACCTAGTTATTGATCAGGTGGCCAGGAGGGGACTGGGTAGGGGGAGGGGCGGTCCGGAGGGAGGGCATGTGTTGCTTGTGAAGTATCCTAAAGCAAAGGAGCAGAGCTGGCCTTTAACAGGGGTGAGTGGGCCATTCCTATAGGCCCAGAGGGTGGGGCCCCGTGGCGCTCCACCCATACACCCCCGTCCCGAGTCTCAGCGCCTCCCTCTCTCCCTGGACAGAAGAGCCAGATCTGAGAAGCCACCTTCCCTTACTACCAAGCCCTGCACTCGGTTCTCAGCTTTCTCTGCCCTTCCCACGTAGATGAGAGTCTCTTTATGTGTCGCTAAGGAGGCCAGATTGAAAGTTCGCCTTCAAGTGGGGACTAATCACCCTCAGCCTTTCATTGCCTTTCTCAAAGGCATCTGTAGCATCCAACAGCAACCATTTTGATTCCACAGGTTTTTTTGGTGTGTGTGTTTTAATTTTATTTATTTGAGAGAGAGAGCGCGCACGAGCGGGGGCAGAGGGAGAGGGAGAAGCAGACTCCCCGCTGAGCAGGGAGCCCGACACAGGCTGGATCCCAGGACCCGGAGATCATGACCCCAGCCAAACGCAGACACTTAACCGACTGAGCCACCCAGGCCCCTGATTCCACGGTTTTTATACTTGCTACTCCCTGCCCCCTCTCTCAAATGCCCCAACCAGAACGTTCCTTTCCACCAGTGTTCCATCCCAATTCCCCACCAGTGAAGTTGGACAAAGCGCACTGCTTCAGCCCACCAGCGGCTGTCAGAGCACCGCCTTCCCACCAGCGATGGGGTCTTAAGGGCCAGGCGGCTAGGGGTGATCCAGCCCCCAAATCCCATTTTGGTGTCTGTTTCCCAGGACCACCCCCGCTACCAACTGTTGTAGCTCCAATTCCTTAGGAAACAGGCTCAGAGACAGAGATTTGCGTGCAGGTACTTTATTGGCATCGGTTTGGGAGCCAACACCTGCAAGTGAAGGAAACTGGGTCAAGCAGAGTGTTAACCTTAAAAATAAAACCACTAGCTATTTTGTCAGCAAAAATGGGTTTGAGGAATAGCAGAGACTTGCAACCCAGGACAAGAAAGCTATAGCATAATCTTAAGCAAGTCTGCAGAACAAACAGAAGAATGGTCTTTTATAGCATAAAGGGGAAGTTGAGAAGGCGGTAATAAAAAATTCATTTGGGCCGTATCACAATCCCTCATTGACTGAGCAGTGACTGTCCCTCATTGGTTGGGCTGTAGTTACAGTTCCTCATTGGCTGAGCGTGACTGTCCCTCATCGGCTGGGCTGTAGTTACAGTTCCTTATTGGCTGAGCTGTGACTGTCCCTCATTGGCTGGGCTGTTGTCACAGAACCTCATTGGCTGGGCCAGGGGAGAAGGAAACTTTCCTTCCTCTTTCTGGGATAATAAAATACTAACCCTACAAGGTGCCTCTTTTCCTGTTGGGTCTGCAGTTGACAAGGAGTGCTGGGCAGGAGGGCTCCCCCTGCAGCCTCCTGACTCCCTTCTAAAGGAGATTTCCTCTTATTTTCACAAGAGAAAGAGGCTAGACTGTGATGTGGTTGCAGGAGGGACCTCTGTCAGTCCCATGGGCAGCTCTGGGCTGGATGGGTCTTCAGAGTCATCCCAAGTTGAAACAAGGCAGTTGGGCCCATCAGCCAGTCTTTAAACACAAGTTCTCTCAGGGAGGGGGAACCTAGGGCAAAGCAGCTTGCCCCATCAAAGGTAAGTCTGGGGAAGGGATTCGGCTGTGAGCCAGTACTCGAGGCAGTAGGGTGGAATGGGCGCCCCAGCCCTAAGGTATGATCTAGTGGCACCACATAGCACCACTGCATAAGACATTGTATCCAGGTATGTTCGGGTCTCTTTGGGGGGCAAGGTGCTGCCCTGGTGGTTTGATGCCATGCACTTGTTGAGAGTACTGGGTTCTGTGGGGCAGGAATGGTCTCTAATGTGAACAAGAGCAGTAAGAGCCAGTGGCTCAGTGGTTAAGCGTCTGCCTTCAGCTCAGGTCATGATCCCAGGGTCCTGGGATGAGCCCCACATCGGGCTCCCTGCTCAGCAGGGAGCCTGCTTCTCCCTCTGCCTCTTTGCCCCTCACCCCGCTCTGGTGCTCTCTCTCACTCTAAACTATTCCAGCCTTGCCACTGTAAGTGACCACAAAAAGCACATACAACAATGTGAAAAAAAAAAAAAAAAAAAAAGGCAGTAAGAGCTAGAGCGTGTATGCAGGCTTGTTCCTAGTGCATGCCTAAGGTCAAAACTGTGGAAGCCAGACTCTTTCCTCCAGTCAGAGAAATGGGATAAAAATGGGAGACAATACAAAATGGTCAGATGCAGGAAGACACTTGGAAGAATCAGAGCGTGGAGAGGACGCACACCAGAGGGTCCTAGAAAGAGGGTGATACTGGAGAGCTCAGGAGGCTCATATCCTTGATTCCCTCTTCCCCTGCCAGGCTGTCACGTTATTTAAAGGGTTGGGGTGGGAGAGAAGGGGCTGCTCTATGCATGTGTTTACAAGCATTGGTGCCATTTGATAGGTACTGTGTGTAATCTCTATTTTTAATTTTTTTGTTAAAGTAATGCATACATTAAAAAAGCCTAAAATAAAAACAAAATCTTATAGAGTCAGCAGGCCCCTGCCCAGTTTCCACCCTAATCCTCAGTACAACTCCCCAAAAGCAATGACTTTCAACTCTTTTAATATATTTCGTAGGACAGTTGCCTTCATATTTTAAATAATATTCTTAGGCTTCTACTTGGCTTATTTCACATATCAACTTCATTTTTCTTACACGACTTCCATTTTTTAGAATCTTATTTTCCTTATGAATCTATAGCCAGTGTGTTACATCACTCTACAAATATCATTCCTTAATTTTTACCATCAGATAAGTCATCTACTTATATTTTCCCACCCCATATCATCTATCAAATCTGATATATTTTTGACCCATCTCATTTTTGGGGAGGGGTGGAGTGCCGGAGTTCACTGTAGCCTCTTCCAATGTGGACAGCCGCCTTCTGGGCCCCCCCCCCCCAAGCACAGCCACCCTCTGGGGCCATCTCTGCCTCTCTCCTGGGTTGGATCCACCACCCTGGGCCATGTCTTCTTTGTTTACTCTTTGTTGGCATTTGCAATCCACATGTAGTCTCCCAAAAAAGAATACATGGAGTGTAATTCTTTCTGAGTCCTTTACAGATCTGAAAATATCTTTATTCCTCTCTCAAGCTTAATTAAAATTTGACTAAAGAATTCTAGGTGAAATACCATTATGAAGCCATTTCTCTACAGTCTTTAAGAACCCAGTGTTGGGGTGCCTCTGTGGCTCAGTCGGTTAAGCCTCTGATTCTTGGTTTTGGCTCAGGTCGTGATCTCAGGGTTGTGAGATTGAGCCCTGCATTGGGCTCTGCACTCAGCAGGAAGTCTGCTTGAGACTTTCTTTCCCTCCAGTTTGTGTGCTCTCTCTCTAAAATAAATAAATAAATCTTTAAAAGAAATAAGAACCCAGTGTTTTTGTTGAGAAGTTTGATATCCTTCTGAAACTCCTCCTGTATGTCAACCGTTTCTTCTGCACCTGGAAGCTTTTAGGATACTTTTACGTTCATTGCATTGGGCATTTTGTGAGCCCTTTTAGTTCTGGGGAAAATATTCATATTACTTATTTAATAATTTCCTGTCCTTCATTTTTCTCTGATCACCTTTTGGAACTCTTTTTACTAGTTAGATGTTATACCTCCTAGAATGAAATACCACATCTCTCCATTTTTTCTTATGTTTTCCCTTATGTCATATTGTTATGCCTTCCAGAATATTCCTTTCACACTATTTTCCAACCTTCTAATAATTTTTTTTAGTTTTCCCCATCATGTTTTAGGTTTCAGCAACCTTTTTTTGTTCTGTAATGTTTTCTTTATCATAGCCTGCTTCCCTGGTTTTATGGGTATAGCATCCTCTTGACTCTCTGTGAGCAATCAAAACCAGTGTTTTGATTTTTTGAAAGCTCTCATTTATTTGTTCCCCTTTCCTGGTTCTATGTGTATTTTCCCTCTTTCTGGAGGCTTTCTTCAAATGCCTAGGTCAATCCTTGGCATTTGTATCAGTTTGCTAGGGCTCTTATAACAAAATGCCACAGACTGGGGGTGGGGGACAGGTGGCGCTTAAACAACAGAATTTATTTCCCTCCGTTCTGGAGGCTGGAAGTTTAACATCAAGGTGCCAGCAGGGCTGGTTTCCTCTGAGGCTTCTCTCCTTGCCTTGCAGATGGCCTTTCCTCTGGGCATGCACCCCAGGTGTCTCTTCCTCCTCTTACAGGGACACTGGTCCAATTGGATTACAGCCCACCCTTGTGGCCTCATTTAAACTCAGTTACCTCTTTAAAGACCCTATCTCCAAATAGGGTCTTTTTAGGAGCCGGTACTTCAACATATGATTTTAGGAAGGACACAACTCAGTGCATAACAGCTTTCTCTTCCAGTTGAAAAATGAGACACTAACCCACTGATGGGACTCTCTGACCACGGCCACAGTGACACACTTCAAGTGACACACGGGGCTAGCTGCTTTTCTGGGCACTCCATTTCAATGTGGGGGACCTATCTTCTCACCGTAGAGCAATTCTCCTGTCTCCTACCTCAGGTATAGCGACCTGGCTGCCGGGAGCCTGTGTGTGAGATGGGGAAGTGTGCAGGGTGATCAAACCTTCTGGATCCAAGGGACCCCCTTGACTTGAGCCCTGACCTTCCCTCTGTAGAGGCTGAGCCTCCTCAGTCCCATGTCTCCAGAGAAGAAATTGCCAGGCTCCCACCTTGACTTTGAGGCACAGAGGGGGGGTGAAGAGAGTTGACTGCTGTGCGTATAAACATGTGGTCTTCCCGAAGCCTCCCCACTCTGCGTCTGACCTGCCTGCACCTCCGGTGCCCTGGCTGCCCTGGGGTTCCACCTCGGAGTCCCCTGCCTGTGCACGTGGGGTCCTGGCTTCCTCCGGCTTCCCGCTTGTTACCTCACGTCCAGCAGCTTCCAGTCTTCCAAACCTGTGCTGAAATCTCAAGTGCACTGAGCTTCTCTCTACCACTCTTTTCCCAGGGGAGTTTTTAGATTTGTTTTTATTCACAATTGTGTCAAGAGGAGAGGCACAGACACACATTTTTCAATCTGTCATTTCTAAAGGAAGCTTCTCAAGACTTTTCCTTTTTGATAAATTAGGAAATATTTCCAACAAAAGGGAAATATAGAGAAAAATATGAACACTTGTGGACACATCATCAAGCTTTATCAAACCTTATAATTTCGCCACATTTACTTAAGAGATTAAAAAAAAATAAGTGTTAAGAACACAGTAGGAGCTCTTCCCTCTTCCCAGTGCCCTCCCCCCTGGGAGTAATCACATCCTAAATTTGGTGGACCATTTGCCTGCATGGGTTTTCCCCAACATTTGCTGCATACGGGTGTACCCATAAACAGTTGCGTGCTTTTCGTGTTTTCCATATGCATGGAAAACATGCATCACACCCTGATTGGTTTTTTGTGCGACCGTATCGTGTTTACAATATTGATACATGTAGCTCCAGTTGATCTGTTTCCTGTGTTGAGGGAATAGTTCACTTTATTAATTCCCCTATTGAGGGAAACTTGAGTTGCATGTAGTTGCGACTACAAACATTACTGCAGTAAATTTTTTTTTTTTTTTAAGATTTATTTGTTTATTTGTCAGAGAGAGAGAGCATGAGCAGGGGGAGGGGCAGAGGCAGAGGGAGAAGCAGGCTCCCTGCTGAGCAAGGAGCCCCAGGCAGGACTCCATCCCAGGACCCTGAGATCATGACCTGAGCTGAAGGCAGACCCTTAACCACGTGAACCACCCAGGCACCCCTGTGCAGTAAACATTCTTGCACAGACCTCATGATACATGTGAGAGTCTCTTCAGGGCATGTTCCTAGGGATAGAAATGCATTAGCATACCATTTGCTTAAATTCCCCTGAACTGGATAACTGCTAAAATGGTGGTACCATTTCATAGTCCCATCAGTGCTGGACCAGTTATCATTGCCCACTTTCCTTACAGCATGTGAACGGTATTTTTTTTTATATTTTTGAATTGGTGTCTAATCAGATTTTTAAAAATAGAGATTTAGGTTAACCCTCCAAGATGGATTGAGCATGAATAAGGGATGAGTAAACCTGCTTTCACTGTATTTCCTTTAGCTGTAGGCTCAGGAGTTTGTGGCAATTACTTTAAATGAGTGTATGTTTTATAAGCATGTTACACATTTTGATGTTAAGTGATCTTCTGAATATCAGTTTTAAGAATTTTCACTAGGGGCACCTGGGTGGCTCAGTCGTTAAGCGTCTGCCTTCAGCTCAGGTCATGGTCCCAGGATCCTGGGATCGAGCCCCGCATCGGGCTCCCTGCTCAGCAGGAAGCCTGCTTCTCCCTCTCCCACTCCCCCTGCTGTGTTCCCTCTCTCGCTGTGTCTCTCTTGGTCAAATAAATAAAAATCTTTAAGAGTTTTCACTAATAAAAAACAAGATATACTTTATCTCATCCAAGTATATGGGTAAATACATATCAAAATGATCCTGTTCTTAAGACACTGAAAATTGAATTTAAGCCAAGTAGATGATCTATAAATCATTGAGATATCTAATATAGTTTCTCTTAAATTCTTCTGACTTAGGAAATTTAAAAATGGACCTTCAAAAATGCTAGGTTTACAATGAGAGGTGTCATAATTCAGTGTTTATTCTATGGATCCTTGACATTTGGGATCTGGACAGCTCTATCGTATATATATATTCACCATAATCATGTAAGCAGCTTGGAGAAGAAAACCCAGGGGCCTGCATTAATTTGGTCCCTTGGAAAAAAACTGCAACAGCAAATTACCCATGACCACAAGCTAATCCCAAGATCACGTGTAAGATTTGAAAGGCCTGACGAAGATGAAACTGCAGAATACCAAACCTTTTTAAAATCGGGTAAGTATTTTGATTTTCTCTATTAGCCATTTTAAGGGGGAAATATACCACACATTTAATATTTGGAAGAGGCAAAGAATGTCTTTCTTAGAGCAATTCAATTTTTAAATTATAAAATATTTTACATATATACAGAAAATAGTGAAACAGGCATGTATCACGTAAATTTAACAATTTTTAATATAGTTTGCTATATTTATTTCAGATAGTGTTGTTTTTTCACAGAAATAAATGTTAATAGGTACCATTAAAGACTTCACCCACTTCCTTCTTCTCCCTTTACCCTCAGAGGTGGTAGTTAACCTGAGTTGCTGGATATCTTTCTTCCCTTCTTTATGTATGATCTTTAGCAAAATATGATACTATGTATTTTTAATTGGTTGTAGATACTCCGAATGAATTGCAATGCTGCCGGTGAATATGGATTATAAGTCTTTGTATGGACATATTTTGTTTCTCTTAGGTTTGGGACAGATGGAATGTACTGTAGGTATATGCTTAACTTTAAAGAAAATGACAACATGTTTTCAAGATAGCTATGCCATTTAATATCCTCCTCTGGCAGTGTATGAGAATCCCTTTGCTCCAAATCTTCACTAACATTTGACAAGGTCAGCTTTTTAGAGTTTAGCTATTCTAATGGGTAAGTAATGGTACCATTGTGGCCTTAATTTGCATTTCCCTGATGACTAATGATTTTGAGCACCTTTTCATGTGCTTAATGGCCACCCATATATCTTCTTTTGTAAAGTGTCTCTTCAAGTCCTTTGTCCATTTTTAAATCAGGATGTTTGTCTTCTGATTTTTAAGATTTTTTAAAATGTATTTTGGATTTAAGTCCTTTGATATGTGAGTTGCAAATATTTTGTACAAGTCTGTGTCTTGTCTTTTTATTCCCTTTTTAAAATTGAGACATAATTAACATATAACACTTTATTAATTTTAGAAGTACAGCCGAATGATTTGATACATGTCTATATTGCAAAATGATCACCATAGTGAGTTTAGTTAACATCCATCACATACAGTTACAATTTTTTTTCTTGTGATGAGATCTGCATTGGCAACTTTTAATATGCAATATCGTATTGTTAACTATAGTCACCATACTGTACATTTTTTATTCTCTTTTGAATGATGTCATTCAGGAAGAAAAATTTTAAATTTTGATGTTCAGTTCATCCCAATTTCTTGTATGGTTCATGTTTTTTTATGTTTTACTGAAGTAACCTTTGCCTACCTCAAGTTCACAAAGATTCCCTTCTATGTTTTCTTTTAGAAATTTTAGATTTTAGGTTTTACTTTACATTTTACATTAGGGCCATGGTCCATTTTGAGTGAATTTCTGTGATGGGAGGTAAGGATCAGTGTTCATTTTTTCCTGTGTGGATATCTATTTTGTCCAACATCATTTCTTGAAAAAAATCTCCCTTTTTTCATCTTGGCACCTTTCAAAAATCAGCTGACTGTTTTTGTTGGGTCTCTTTCTGAATTCTATTCTCACTCTTTCCAAAATTGTTTTGGTTATTCTAGGTCGTTAGATTGTTCGGATGGGTTTTAGAAACAGTTTGTCAATTTCTTCAAGAGACTGCTGGTATTTTTAATTGCATTGGCTCTATAGATCAATTTGGGGAGAATTGACATCTTAATAATATGGCTTCAGCTGTGTGGCACATATTTTGATACGTTGAATTTTCATTTTCATTCAATTCTCTATATTTTTATATTCCGTTTGAGACTTTCTCTTTGGATTATTTGGAAGTAGATTGTTTAATTTCAGAATCTGAATAATTTTCTACTGTCTACTACTGACATCCAATTTGATTCCATTATAGTCAGAAAATATACTCAGTATGATTTCAATTCTTCTAGGTTTTTTGAGGTTTGCTTTATGATCCAGAATATGGTCCATCTCTGGTGAATGCTCCATGCACACTTGGAAAAACAATGTATTTGCTATTGTGGGTGCAGTAGTCTTTACGTACACATCAACTAGATCCTGTTGGTTGATTGTATTGTTCAGTTCTTCTATGTCCTTGCCGAGGTTTTGGCTAGTAGTTCTGTCAGTTGCTAAGAGGGGGTGTTGAAGACCCCAACTATAATTGTGGACTTGTCAGGTTCTACTTTATCTCTATTAGTTTTTGCTTCATGTATTTTGAGACTGTTTTTTGACATGTTTCTATTTGAAATCATGTCTCACTGGTGCACTGAACCTTTATCATAAGGTAATGTCTCTGTCTCTAGTAATTTTCTTTGCTCTGAAATCTATTTTATCTAATATTAATATAGCCACTCCTACTTTTTTTTTAAGTAGGCTCCACGCCCAAAGTGGGGCTTGAACTCACAACCTTGAGATCAAGAGTCACATGCTCTATCGATCGAGCCAGTCAGGCACCGCAACTGCGTTTTTGATTAATATTTGCAAATATATCCTTTCCTGTCCTTTTATTATCAATCTACCTATGTTTCACTGAAGTAAGTTTCTTGTAGATAGCATATTGTTGGAACACTTTTTAAATCCACTCTGTTAATCTGTGCTTTTAACTGGTATATTTAGATCATTTGCATTTAAGACAATTATTGATGTCAGAGTTTCTCAGCCATTTTATTTATTTTTTGTTTGTTTCCTCTGTTTCTCAATCTTCTGTTTCTCTTGTCTTTCTGTGAGTTACTTGAACATTTTCAAAATTCCATCTTGATTTATTTAAAGTGTTTTTTAAAAGATTGCTTTGTATGGTTTTATTAGTGGTTGCTGTAGGTGTTACTTGATACATCTATAACTTACCACAGTCTCCTTGAATCAATGTTTTGCCTCTTCAAGTAAAGTGTAACAGTTTCTTAGCCTCCTCAACTTAAAAATATGATTGTCTTTGGTATTGAGCACCACATCAGATGGTGTTATAATTGTGGCTTCAAAAATCAAATATGATTTAAGAAACTCATGAGAGTTTCTTAATGAGTCTATCATATTTACCCCTATTTTTATCCATTTTGATGTTCTTTTGTCTTTCCTGAAGTTCGAAGCCTCCTTCTGTTCTCATTTCCTTGTTTAGAGAACTTTCTTTTGCTGCTCTTTAAGGGTGGGTTTGCTAGTCAAAAATTCTTAGTTTTTCTTCACTTGGGAGTGTCTTCATTTTCTCATAATTCCCAAAGGATATTTTTGCTGGGTATAGAATTTGATGTTGACAGTTCTTTCCTTTCAGCATTCAAAAATGTTCTGTCACTTCCGTCTCTCCTCCATGATTTCAAATGAGAAATCCACATTCAGATTTTTCCTCTATGAGTCCTGTGTTTTTTCTCTCTGGCTGCTTTCAAGAGTTGTCCTTTGTCTTCAGTTTTCAGAAGTTCAATTATGATGTGTCCTCCCATGGATTTCTTTGGTTTATCCAATTTGGGGGTTTGCTCAGCCTCTTGAGTCTATAGATGTCCAGCTTTCGTTGAATTTGGGAAGTTTCCAGCCTTATTTCTGAGAGTACTTTTTCAGTCCCACTGTGACTCCTCTCCTTCCAGGGCTCTGATAATACAAAGATCAGCTCTTTTGTTGTTGGTACACAAGTTCCTGAGACTTTTTTTTCTTGTTTTCTCTGTTGTTTGGATTGGGTGGATTCCATTGATCAGCCATCACTCTGCTATTAAGCCTGCCCAGTGAATTTTTTATTTAGACTATTGTATTTTTTAGTTCTATACTTTCCTTTTTTTTTTTTTTTTATAACTTCTATTTCTTTGCTGAGATCTTCCATTTTCCATTTGTTTCTGAGCACGTTTATGAAGGCTGCTTTAACGTCCTGGTCAGATCATTCGACCTCTGGTTCATCTTGTTGTTGGCACCTCTTGATTGTCTTTTCATTCAGTTTGAGATCTCTGGTTCTTAGTATGACAAAGGATTCTCTGTTGTATTCTGGGTGTTTTGAATATTATGAAACTCTGTGTCCTAATTAAGCTTCTTTATTTGCAGGCTATCCCCTACTGGGATGCAGCACAAGGGTCAAGTGTTGGGTGGGTGGGTATTCTAGGCTTCCTGCTGGGCCTGTGGACACCACCCCACCAACCAGGGAGCAGGTGCACTGCCTCCCTGAGTGTGGGGGGAAGTTCAGCTCCCCCTTTGGTAACATGGGGCACAGAATTACATGAAATTATTGTTTCTGAGTTGGCTCCCCAGTGGGCCTCATGGACACCAGGGTTAGGAGACAGGAAGCAGGGTCACTACCCAGCCTTGCATAAACTGCTTCTCTCTTGTTGCCACCAGGTGGGGTAGAGGTTTAGCTCTCCATTGGGCCCTGCTGACATGAGGGGCAGAGGGTATGTGGAGTGTGACTAGTCCCACCTTGCACCCCCTGGATGAGCCTTGTTGCTGCCACGTGGGCTTGGAGGCTCAGCATGCCATTGACATGGCACTATCTTGGGGAGAATCAGAGCTCCACCTGCTTCCCCCAGGCCAGCTTATGGAGGACCAGCTCCCTGCTCAGCTTACCCACACCACCCATGTAGGTAATCAGAACTCTGCCTGCTTCTGCCAGGAAGGGGGATGAAAAGGGTAGGTTCTGCTCAGGTTCCCCCACATCACTGCCTGCTGCTCCCTTGGGAGTGGTGGAATGCCCACTCCCTGCCCACCACACTGAAGCCACAGGGGTTGGTGTGGTTCTCCCACTGCTGCTTGATTTGACTAGAGTAGGTCCGGCCATGGCCGTGTGGCTAAAGGGAACAGGCTTATCTTGGAGTTTTTGTGTGTGTGTGCCTATTGGTGGTTCTACTTGGAGGCTTCTACAGACCTCTGTCTGGGATTTATGGGAAGCAACAGGGAAATCAGGAGCTCACTGTGTCCTTCCTCCGTTCCTGAGGTCTGCCTCAGGAATCTGCCTGCTTGTTTCGACCTTTCAGAGAACCTCCTATCCTTATCTGTTGTGTCATGTCCAGGATTTCTCAGATGCAAGAAAGAGGGCCTAGTGGAAATGGGGTTACTGCATCTTAAAGAGAATCCTTTATGTATAATATAGCCTTTTATATCCGTTTTGGAAAGCACTTCATAAGCATTGGAAAAGAAAGTTTATTCTTCAAAAACAAAGCAAAATATAAATCCACTAAGGAAATATAATGAATTACATTAACCAAGTTCTTTCTAACTTTTTCTCTGATTTAGAGTTGTTTTTAAAATATTCCATTACTGTTTATTTGTGGCAATATATATTGATATTTCTAATGATTTTAATGTAAGTATTTTACTGCAGCAATATTTGATGTCTGCAAGCCTATTCTTATTTAGTCTTTATTGTGACTTATTCTTACTGTGAGTATAAAGTGACTTTCCGGATGCTCCTTCCAATGAATTCTGTACTTTTTTAAATGATATTTTGACTCCTGTGTTCTTAGACCATTCTTGTACTTTTAGCCATTTTAGTTCATGCTGTTTATCTTTCATGATTATATTTTGTTTCTTCATTGACATCTAAGAGTTTTTATCTTTTGATAGGAAATTTACTCCATCTTCATTAGTTGTTATGACTGTTATGTTTGGGTTGGCCTCTGGCATCTTGTTTTATTCTCTGCAATGGAATTTCAGGAGAGGGGTTTTAGCTGTCCTTTCCCACCTTTCCTAAATCCTAAATGTCAGTTACAGTTATTTCACACAACAGTTGTGAATCATGTTGGAACCAAGGAGGCCAAGCACTTCCTTCCCTAAAGAGACTGAATGACCAAAGGCTAGCTTGTTGTTCATACTTTGCTAAGGAATCTGCTTCGATTTTAGTCTTACTATCTGGAGGTAGTATAGGTTCCAGGAAAATGACTGGCTCATTATAAAAGGAGTGAATTCAGGATATGGTTGTTCTTATTATCCTTTATCAAAGTGATGGGAGTAAATCTATACTTAGGTAACTGTAATTACCCTTTCTTGCAGGTAAGGATTCTAACTATTCAAAACCAGAATATATTGCTGGATTTTTAAAATATGGATTTAATGCCATTCTCAGTGAAAGCTTGGGCAGTGAGAGAGATGTGCCAGATACCAGGAATAAAATGTATGTTAATCCTCATTTTTTTATTGAGGTATAATTGTCATATAAGATTATATTAGTTTCCAGTGTACAACATAATGATTTGATATTTGTATATATTGCCAGATGATCACCACAATAAGTCTAGATAACATTGGCTACTATGCATAGTTACAAAAAGTATTTGTGTGTGTTTGATGAGACATTTTAAGATCTACTGCCTTTGCCACTTTCAAATAAGCAGTATAGTAATATTAACTATAGTCACCCTGTGGACGTTATATCCCCCATGACTTACTTATTTTATAACGGAGCTTTGTTTTGCCCACCCCCTTCCTCTGGCAACCACCAGTCTGTCCTCTGTATCTATGAGGTTGGGTTTTGGAGGTTTGGTTGGTTGGTTGTTTTTAGATTCCACATGTAAGTGAGATCATATGGTATTTATCTTTCTCTGACTTATTTCATTTAGTGTAATGCCCTCAGGAAAGATGTCATTCTTTTTTATGCTGAAAAGTATTCCATTGTGTATATAGTAGCACAATTTTCTTTATCCATTCATCCACTGATGGACAGTTAGGTTGTTTCCATGTCTTGCTATTATAAATAATGCTGCCGTGAACACAGAGGTGCATGGATCTTTTTGAGTTAGTGTTTTCATTTTCTTAAATAAATACCCAGAAGTGAAAGCGTTGGATCTTATCATAGCCCCTTTTTAAATTTTTTTTAAAGATTTTATTTATTTACTTGACAGAGACATAGCACAGATAGGCAGAGGGGCAGGCAGAGGGAGAGGGAGAAGCAGGCTCCCCGCTGAGCAGGGAGCCCAATGGGGGACTCGATCACAGGACCCTGGGATCACAACCTGAGCCGAAGGCAGATGCTTAACCGACTGAGCCACCCAGGCGCCCCTATTTTTAATTTTTGAGGACCCTCCATGCTGTGTTCCACAGTGGCTGCACCAGTTTGCATTCCCACCAGCAGTGCACGAGGGTTTGCTTTTCTTCATATCCTCTTCAACGCTTGTTATTTCTTGTCTTTTTGGTAATGCCATCCTAACAGGTGTGAGAGGATATCTCATTGTGGTTTGATTTGCATTTCCCCGATCATTAGTGATGTTGAGCACCTTTTCATGTACCTGTTGGCCATCTGTCTGCCTTCTTTGGAAAAATATCTATTCAGATCTTCTGCCCATTTTTTAATTGAATTGTTTTTTTGCTATTGAGTTTTATGAATTCTTTATATATTTAGATATTAACCCCTTTTCAGATATATGATTTTCTCTCATTCAGTGGGATACCTTTTCATTTTGTTGATGATTTCCCTTGCTCTGTGGGGGCTTTTTGGCTTGATGGAGTCCCATTTATTTATTTATACTTTTCTTGCCTTTGCTTTTGGTGCCAGATCCAAAAAATCATCACCAAGACTAATGTCAAGAAGCTTACAGCCTCTGTTTTTTTCTAGGATTTTTATGGTTTCAGGTTTTACATGCAAGTGTTTAATCTATTTCAAGTTAATTTTTGTGTACGATGTAAGATGGTGGTCCAGTTTCATTCTTTTGCATGTGGCTGTCCTGTTTTCCCATCACCATTTATTGAAGAGACTGTCCTTTCCCCATTGTATATTCTTGGCTCCTTTGTCATAATTAATTAATCATATATGCATGATTTTATTTCTGGACTCGCTATTCTGTTCTATTGATCTATATGTCTGTTTTTATGCCAATACCAAACTGTTTTAATTAGCATAGCTTTGTAATAGAGCTTGAAATCAGAGAGTGTGATGCCTCCAGCTTTGTTCTTGTTTTCTCAAAATTGCTTTGCCTCGTCAGCATTTTCTGTGGTTTCATACAAATTTTAGAATTCTTTGTTTTATATCTATGAAAAATACCATTGGAATTTTGATATGGATTGCACTGAATCTGTAGATTGCTTTGGGTATGGACATCTTAACAATGTCAAGTTCTTCCAATCTATGAGCACAGAATATCTTTCCATTTATTTGTGTCTTCTTTAATTTCTTTTCATTAATGTCTTATAGTTTTCCAGTGTACAAGTCTATCAGTGAATACATATTAATTTTTTAAATAAACAGTTACTAACCAGATTTTAATTTTGGCATATTAGAAGTTTCCCTGTTTTTAGGACTTGGAGTCAGATAATTCAAGAGCCTATTTCAAAATGCTAGAGTTTATAGTGTAGAGAACACCTTCCCCAGTTGCACCAAATGTGTTCTAGGGATTTACAAGAATTGCATTGCCCACAGGATCTTTTTATTAAATTACCAGTTGGCACATTTGGCAAAAGGGATATTTCTGATACAAAATGCTTCAAATAGCTACTTATTTTTTTATTCAAAATCTGCTTTTTCTCATTGTTCTCATTTGTGTTGGTGCCTTTTTTTAAACTTGTGGTAAACTGGACATAAAGTAAAATGTACCATTTTCACTATTTTTAACTGTACAATTCAGTGGCATTAAGTATATTCACATTGTTTTGTAACTATCATCACTATCCATCTCCAGAACTTTTTAATTAAACATGAACTCCCCATTCTTCCCTCCCTCTGGTCCCCCTGTACTTTCCATCTCTGTGAATCTTAACTACTCTAGGTACCTCATAAAAATGGAATCATATGATATTTGCCTGACTTATTCCATGTAGCATAATGTCCCCAAGATTCATTCATGTTGTAGCATGTGTGCCTCAATGGTTCTGATGGCTTCCAGCTCAAAAGGGTTGATACTCTGTCTTAACTAAATGAGAAGTACTTAAGGAATATAGGCATCTTCCAGTAACACAGAGACAAAATCCAAGCTCCAGGAAACAGGAGAAAGTGGGGCCCACTGTGTCTTTTTGCAACCTGTGTGTAACACGAACGTTTCAAACCACAAATATACGAATCAAAAAAGCATCTAGGTAGCTAAATATCACTTAAGATGAGGCACACTTGAGAGACGTAGTGTTTACATATGATGACACAAAGGAAAAGAACTTAAATTTATTCAAGCCATAGAACATGATATGAATTTAATTTAGAGGACAACTTTTTTTTTTTAAGATTTATTTATTTATTTTAGGGGGAGGGAGGGGCAGATGGAGAGGAAGAGAGAATCCTAAGCACACTCCCCACTGAGCATGGAGCCCTACGCCAGACCTCCACTTCATGACCCTGAGATCATGACCTGAGCCAAAATCAAGAGTCAAAAAGCTTAACTGACAACACCACCCAGGTACCCCTGGGGACAACTTTTTTCTTGACTGGATAGTGAACTACCACAAAGGAAAGCCAATATTTTTGAATATTGTCTGTAAGCTATGAATTTCTTGCCACACCATCAACTCTTCTCCCTAAATCTCATCTCCTAAAATAGTGCAGCTACCTTTACTTCCTTTCCCCCATCACATGATTGTTAGGAAAAGCAGAAACTTTAGAGAGAGGCAGTCCAAAGAGAGACGTGAACTTGGAAGTTTGAGTATTCAGAATGTTAACTTATTTAATAGGAAATTCAATTATGTATAGGGTACACTTGTGTTTAAAATAAATTTCAACTACTGTTGGAGTCCAAGCAGATTTTCAGCCATTGTTATACTAATCCTATTATTCCATTAAGTGGGATTTCCATTTCAGCTGTGCCTTAAAGTTCACATGATTGTTCTCACTAGCTATGGAAATATTTGATACAGATATTTGAAGAGTACATTTTTTATGTTGCTTGATCTTCTGATTTAATTTTTTATCTTTTACCTTTTTCAATTTTGAAATAATTTCAGACTTACAAAATGGTTGCAAAAATACCTCAAAGAATTCCTGTATAGCCTTTTCTTAGATTCCCCAAATGTTAACATCTTCCATACCCTCAGAACCAGAACAATGAACAAAACCAGGAAATTAATATTGATACAATACCATTAGCTAATCTACAGACATGATTCAAATGTTTCAGTTACCCCACTGGCGTCCTTTTTCTGGAAGGACCCAACCCAAGACCCCAGATTGCGTGTGGTGTTCCCAAGCCCTTGGTTTTCTTTCATCTGAAACCATTCCTAAGTCTTTATCTTTCATGAGGTCTGACCAGTTATTTTCTAGAACGTTCCTCCGTTTGAGTTTGATGTTACCTTGAGATCAAATCTGGGGGCCATGCTTTTTGGCAGGAATACCATAGAAGTGATTTTGTGTCATCCTCAGAGCACTGCATCAGGAGGCACTTGATGTCCATTTGTCCCATTACCAGTGACGTGACTGCGGGTGAAATTATTTTCAGTCACTTGACTGAAACAGAAGCTGTCAAATTGCTGCACTGTAAAATGATTATTTAGCCTTTTGTAATTAATAAGTATGCAGATTTCTTTTAAATGTTAATCACAGAAAACCTGGAATTTATATATTAAAAAAAACACAAAAAGGGACAAGTCAACATACCCCCAGTCCTATTGCTTTTTCTCCTGTGTTAGCGCACAAGGTGTGTAAGCCAATAACCTCCCTCCCTACTCAATACACTCTGTGTCTTGTCTCTGTGCCCTAATTTTCCCTTTTTGCAAGGACACCAGTCTTATTGGACTAGGTCACCTTAATGACATCTCCCTCATTGTTTCTGCAACGATCCCATTTCCAAATGAGGCCACATCCTGAGGTACTGGGGGTTCAGACTTCAACATATGAATTTGGGGGGAGACACAATTCAACCCACAGTAGTCCTGCTTTATACTGTACTCTTGTTGATCTGTATGATCAGCAAAGAATAGAGCAGCTAACCAAGGACCACCAAACTCGGGCCTTGTCCAAATTATTTTTACCCTGAAAAACTGCTTACTCAGGTGAGAAAAGTTTGGGTCAGAAAAGACCAGAGCAACATTTATCAATTAATTTTGTAGAGACTCATACACCCAGGGGCCTAAAGAGACCTGGTGGACATAGTCTCAGGCCCCTTCACTATCATTGTCTCATTCCTCCGAAGGGACTCCGTTTATCTACGGTTTTCTTAAAAAGATGCCCAGGGCTGGATGTAATGCTAGAGATGTGACCTAAGTAGCACAAGTTCACCCTGGACCATCATGTCCCTCATTTTTGTGTTATCCTTTCATTGTCCCCCACGCCGTTTCCCTCATCTACTTCCTCTTTGAGAACTCAATGATCTTCCCGGAATTTAAGCCTGTGGGTCATTCTCCTACTTGTCTCTGTGAAGCCACATGTGTAGGATGTGCTCCCCCCCACTCCCTTCCCAGCCGCTCAGCCCTCCCTGGTCCCACTCCCTGGAGCACGATGGCAGCATCTATGTGGTAGGCACATCTTCATCTAGTCTTGGGTAAAAATGTTCGCTAGGGAAGTCCCTCTTCTTCCATGGTGACACCTGCCCATGAATATGCTGTGGGTCTGTGTGGGATACCTGTAGGCTTGCCCCTACCCAGCGCCTCCTTTACTGGCATTTCCTGCCCCACTTCTCTTTCCACAAAGTTGCAGTGGGAATAGTGACTTCGATTTTGACTCCACTCGCTGGCCACAGTCCATTAGCCCAGCGACGGGCACCTGAGCCAGGCTGGGCCAGTGAATCCTCACCTCTGACTTTTTGAGGAAAAGGAAGTCTTACCAGTTTCTCCTTGGGTGCTGGACCATAAGATATGCTGATGTTGGCCACATTTCCCACTCTGTGGAATAAAGAAGTGGAAATGAGCCAGGCTGCAGAGAGAGGATAAGAATTGTATAATGAGCCTGGTGTGATTCTTTCTATCTGCCAGGCACTGTTCTGAACATCTGACATTTTAATTCATTGAACCCTCCCAACCTATGAGGTAGGCTGATGTTGTTATAGTTACTATTATTCCCAGATGTAAAGGCAAGAACAGAAATGGACCAAGTGTCCAGGTGACTTTCAAACCTCTAGCTCCAGTCATTCTTGAAGTTTCCATCGGAACAACTGTCACTAGGTCCTGTGGGACATTTGGGTCCCCTTCTAATATACTTCCCTTTCTTATGCTTAAGCCAGCTCCCATGGGCCTGTCATTTACAACCAAAATATTTCAAAATACAACCAACTCACGTAGCAATTCAAACAATAATTAATAGCTAATAACTAATATTATTAGAATTCAGCTCTTGTTTTTTTCTCTCATGGGCACAAAAATAATAACACATTTTTGTCAAATCCTTGGAAGAAATCCAGTTACACCATATCCACTGCATTTCTTTGCCACAACAAACTAAAGCACAAGATTTTCTTTGAAGATAGTACAATGAAGTTAATTTGAACATTTCAATGTGTATAAGTGTATTAATACACTTTTATAATAGAAACCAAAATATAGGTATAATTCATGTTTATACTATGTTCGACATAGACTTACGATGGCCAAAACAGAGTCTCCAGGGAAGAGCAATTATTGCTGACATTAAGGAGGGAGTGATTTAGAAAATATTAGAATAGCATAAGCAGTTAAAGAAGCTTTTGTATTTTAATTTTGGTATTTTCAACTGTAGTGCCACCTTATTATAATGATCAATTAAGGGAATAAAGAGAAAAAAATGCAAATAAAGAAAAGTGCTTCAGCGAGACCCCAAATCATTTTTTTCTTTCCTTTTATTTATGCCTACAGGTGTCTTCAAAAACATTACCCAACCAACCTACCCACTGCCAGTGTGGTTATTTGCTTCCACAATGAGGAATTTAACGCCTTGTTTCGGACCATGTCCAGTGTCATAAACCTCACGCCACAACACATCCTTGAAGAAATTATTTTGGTAGATGACATGAGCAACTTTGGTAAGACAGAACGCCGTCCACCTGTCATCTGCTTTGAAGGCAGTGCGACCTCTGATGGCACTCGCGTGATTTTATACTTTCTAGACATTTTACATTCAGCGGGTGTCGAGGCAGGTGCTGTTGGTACACCGGTGGGGATGTAAATGCCGGTCCCTGTCCTGTGGTGTTGGGCTCATGGGTGGTTAGCGCTTCCGTGAGGTGGCTGAATGTAGGGGCACCAACCCGGTCTTCAGAGATCACGGATGATGTTCAGGAAGAGGCGACATCTAAACTGAGGTCTGAGTTATCCAGATGGAGAGGAGGAGGAAAATGTTGTAGGCAGAGGCGATAGCACCGTAAAGGCCCAGAGGCCAGAGGTAACGTGGTGAGGTGGGAATAGTCCTGTACTTTATGTAGTATATGTATGAGTATAGCATTGGGGGAGGGAGAGGACATAAAACCACAGCTATAAAAAGGCCACACGGCTTGTGTTGGAATTTTCTCTGGAGAAATGGAGTGCTATTACAGGCTTAATGCAGGGGAGTGGCATGACCCAAGTCCTCCTCAGGAAATAATTCTTTTTTTTTCTTAATTTTTTATACCATTTTTTTAAGATTTTATTTATTTATTTGAGAGAGAGAATGAGAGAGAGAGAGCACATGAGAGGGGGGAGGGTCAGAGGGAGAAGCAGACTCCCTGCCGAGCAGGGAGCCCGTTGCAGGACTCGATCCTGGGACTCCAGGACCATGACCTGAGCTGAAGGCAGTCGCTTAACCAACTGAGCCACCCAGGCGCCCCTGAAATTTTTTTAAAGATTTGTTTATTTGAGAGAGAGAATGGGGAGAGAGGCAAGGGAGAGGGAGAGAGAGACCCAAGCAGACTCCCCACCGAGTGCGGAGACCAACGTAGGGTCTGATCCCATGACCCTAAACTAAGATCAGGCCTGAGCTGAAACCCAAGAGTCAGAAGCTCAACCTACTGCACCACCCAGGCGCCCCCCGTGAATGAATTCTAATCACACCAACTGGAGTCAAGTGCATGTTCCTCCCTGCTCACTGGTTTTAAAGAGTTGTGATACTAGCACAAAATCTGATTAAATGCACTTGGCATTTGAAATGGGTTGTCCTTTTTACAACCGAATTATAAACCCGAGGCAAGCCAAGGGGACCCAGATTAATGAAAAGCTTCTTGGAGTCCGCAGGTCCCTGTGGAGTCCATTTCCCATGGAAGCAATATTTTCAGTATTGAATAGGTTTCCTGCCTAAAAGTTAACCTATTCCCTTGTGAATCTGACCCACCTCGGGCTGGGAAAGGAAAAGAGGAGAGACAGAAGGAAGATGAACAGGCAGGGGTAGAAAAGAGGACATCCCAGGAGATTCACCTGAGGGGAAGGGACTTTAGGTGTGTCAAGTGGCTACATTTAGGGATTTCACACGTTGGCCAGGCACTACCGTTTATGACATTATTTCTCCAGGAGCCGCTGTTTGTTTCTATAATTGTGCACAGGAGGGGCTGTGTGGAGATGGTCAGATTCCTAATGGGATCAGTAGCACTGAGCAGCAGATTTGGCCGCATGCTGGGCAGGGGATGGGGTGGAGGGGGATCTTCTGCTAGACTGTGGAGTTCTAACTGCTCACCTACAAGGACAAGGGTCCTGCTATGGACATACAGTTCCAGGATGACCATGGGACACTGCCCCAAGCCTTTCAGAACCATGCCATGAGTTCAGAGACGCACCCTGTGACCACTCATAAGTTCTCTAGGCACCAGGGGAATCACCACTGATGCCCAACATCTGGGTGTGCTGCCAGACCAGATACCGTGACTTCTCCTCGATCCGTGTTCACCTGGTTTGTGATTTCACCTGCTTCACCAAGGAGGCTACTGTTTGACCCATGCAGAAGCTCAAACACACATAGGAAACAGGGTGTTCTGTATTCTGATAGGGCTCAGGATACTCACATTCCTGCTTTAATTCACAGTGGTTTCACACGGGCTCTAGGAGAATGATGTGAATTTCAGCTTGTCTTTCCCAGCTGATACCAGTAGGCACTGCCGCTGGACTCTCTCAGCCTGGGCAGCAGTGGACGGGGGGGCCCACTGAGTTATGCAAGAGGCATGTCCAGAGCTGACCTGCTGCCATGCATCTTTCTCATGGTCCTGGGCCCTCTTGAGCACAAGCCAACAACATGACCATCTCCTGAAGAAGCCAAGCCCTCCACGTCATGTCAGCAATCAGTGCTGCCAGAACCACCCTTATTTCCCCTGAGCCATGGCTCATAGAGTTCCTCTGCGTTCTGCAGAGGGAGAAGTGTTTGCAGACTTCTGGGCTGCGAGCCCCCTGCCCCCCACCCTGCAGGTGCAGCCGTGCAGCCCTGCAGCCTGTGTTCTGCCCCTGAGTCGGAGGAAGGCGGGCCCTGACACTCTTTAAAGACAAGCAGGAGATCCCTCCTTGCCAAGATTATAATAAACCTGCTTCCATGGATCCTCAACCTCTTGATGCAGATTCCTAAGACCCCTGAGAAGGCCGAGCCCAGCCCCCTTGACCATCATCGTATCACCCTCCAAATACTGAGGGACCATTGAGTACCAGGCCCTGTGCTGCGTGACATATCTGTCCCTCTCTCCACGGTCCTGCAAGGCATTGGTGGATAGCCCTCCTCACAGGGGACAGAGCTGAGACCCCACGGGTCGGACACCTTGCCTGAGTTGTTGCCAAGTCAGAAGGAACAGCTGAGTGAGAAAGTTGGATTGCTCCAGAGCTCCACAAATCATGTTTTTTCTATTAAAATTTCAACAGCGATTTATCAAAATAGAGGTATTTCACTAGAAACAGAATATGTGCAGTTGATCTCAATGCTGAATCATGTTTCTTTCTCTTCCTCCTGTAGGGTGAAGTTTTTAAAGTTAGAACTTCTGTGGAAGAACATGGTTTTTAGGAATCAATCAAAATTGTGATGAATTGTTTTATTTTCTGTAGTTCTAGTTTATACATTGTCAAGTGTTGGGTTTTGTTTTGTTTTTTCCCAGATGATTTGAAAGAGAAACTAGACCATCGCCTGGAAATTTTTCGGGGCAAGATTAAATTAATAAGAAACAAAAAGAAAGAGGGACTGATCCGGTCAAGGCTGATTGGAGCCTCTCGTGCTTCAGGTATGAGCCTTTCATTCGGGACTTGACCCAATATCTGTGTCCCGGAGACCTTCCTGCTGGTGCAGAAATAATCTTCATGGGGACCCCTCCAAGTCTCCACCAGCATAAACAAAAGAGTGGAAATGCCTCTCAGCCAGATGAGTCTTTGGACCCTGAAAGTACGCATTCTGCTTCAAAATGTAGATTCCTTATTTCAAATGGAAGGTATTTTATTGCAGGGGCCATAGTGTCAGCCCCCGTTATAGGATGAGTTCCCCCAGATACAGATCGAGATGGAGTTGTACATGCAGCCAGGAGAGCAAAACTTTATGGGGTGCAGCGGCCTGTGCATGGGAAACCCCGAAGCCAAGGAGCTCCAGTGGGCTGTGTGGCTCTCCAAAGGTCAGGTGGGCTAGTGGGGAGCTCCAGAGCGCGGATGGCCCAGGAGAGGAGTCCAGCTCTGGCTTTCCACCCCCAACACACACACACACACACACACACACACACACACACAGAGTGTGCTTAGTCATTGGCTGCGAGTCCCTGGGAGGCTGGGGGGCCTTGGTGTGAATACTGCAGAGATCCCAAAGCCTGGGAAGCTGTCAAACCGGTTCACAGAGCAGGTTCCCTTGAAGGGAGTCTAAGCTGAGAGGCAGCGGCATCGCTCCCATCCCTGTCTCTGTGGTCACATGGCCTCCTCCTGTGTCTGCCTGTGTCCACATCTCCCTTGGACTAAGGGCCCACCTACTCCAGCAGGACCTCATCCTAATGAATTTCGTCTGCAACAACCCTATTTCCAGATACAGGCACCTTCTCAGGTACTGGGGGTCAGGACTTGCATATATCTTTTGCGGGGGACACAATTCAACACATAATACTACCATAGAGTTTTGGGTGTCTTTGTTTTGTTTTTTAAGGAGAAAGTCTTACTCATTTTTTACTTTGAAAATGTTCAAACCCACAGAACACTTACATAAACCTTCCCCTAGATTCACTAGATGCTAATATCTTACAATACCCACTCTACACACACACACACACACACACACACACACACACATTGCATCTATGTCCAAAAGTAAGATTGGCTTATACTTTTCTTTTTTTGAACTGTTTCTTATACTTTGCTTTACTAGACTTAGAGAATGAATTATATGGGGTGAATATCTATGTTATCTGTGTTTGGAAAATTACATAAAATTGTCCTATAAACTGTCAAGGCACTGGTCTCTTTTTTTGGTTTCCTCTCTAATCCAGGTATTTTTTGAGGAGTGAATTTTAAAGTGTTCAAACATAAGTAAATTGTTGATTACTAGCTTAATTCCTATTGTGGTTGGAATTTGTGGCCTGTTCTGTTGAGATTTCCCTTGCGTCTTAAAGCTAGGTCAATTTTTCAAAACTTCTAATGTGTTTTTAAAAAGAATAAATTTTATCTTCTTGGTTGTAGGTTCTATATATGTCCAATTTTGTTTTTCAAATATTCTATATTCTCATCCAGCTAATTTGACTTGATCCATAGTTATGTTGCTGTCTTCAACTGTGATTCTAGATCTGTCCATCCGTTTCTCCTTGCAATTTCGTTGGTGCTTGCTCTGTACCCATCTATCCATATTTGCCCGCCGCCCCCACCCGGGATGTCGGCATGCTCCCAGCTTCAAAGCGGTGGGGGAGGGGGTCCTGTGGGGTGGGCAGGTGGGCAGCAGCTTGTGAGCCCTCATTAATTTAGTCACATGTTCACTCATCCAGTCAAGGATTTACCTAGTGCCTACTATGTGCTATTGATGCATATTTATTCTTTTTTTCTTCATTTGTATCAACTCTATTGAGATACACTTTATATAAATTCTACCCACTGAACACGGAGATGGGTTTTCTCGTGACGTTAACGTGTGTGTGCATGTGTAGAACCGTTACCTTCCGGAGGAGTTAGTATTTGCGTCATCATGAAGTGACTGTCTGCCGTGGAGGCCTGCAGATCTGTCCCCAGCTGTCGCTCAGACTTTGTCACTTACCCAACTCCCCTCACTCTTCCCCGGATGCACTGACCTTCTTGCTGCTCCTCAGAGACACTGAGCATACTCCTATCTCAGAGCCTTGGCACATGATGTTCTCCTCCTGGAATTTTCTTCGCGTGTCTTCATGACCTGCAGCATCACTTTGCTCAGTTCTCTGATGTTCAAATGCTACTTTATCAGAGAGGCCTTTCCAAACCACCCTGTGTGAAATAGCAAACCTCTGTCTCTCTCCATCATTCTTACTCTGAGTGATTTTTCTTTCTGGTACTTGTTGCTGCCTGTCATTTGTCTGGGTTGGCGGTGCTGCCCACAGGATGATGGAAGTTGCCTGTAAACCACAGGAGCTGAGACAGAGCGCTGTGAACTCTGTGTTGTGCCCCGGGAATGAAGGGAAATGACCAGGTTTGGGGAGAGCACTCCATGGGGAGAATCAGAAGGCAGGCATTTTGCAAATGAGAAAGAGAGAGCTATCATCAGATGGTATGAATCTAAAGGAAAGGGTTTTGTTTGTTTGTTTGTTTTTCTGCATGGGAGCAGAGTCGATACGGTTTGGAGGTAGCCATGGGTAAGTAGGAAGTGCCAGTGTTTCCCTGGACCCAAGGATTTTTGCCATGTGGGGGGAGAAGGAGGAGCTTCCTATCCACAACGTCGATGGGGGCCAGCAGCATCTTCTAGGGAGGGTCAGGGTTTATATAAGGCAAGAAAGCTGTAAGAGAATTTTGTGGAAAAAATTAGTGTAGAGAAACTTACTTTACATGAGGGACCTTTGGAAAGGGTAAAAATGTGGTCCACAGTGGAAGAAAAGCTTTTGGGGGGAATACAGGGCAGCCTTGGGGGTGAGAACACAAGAGAGGATCTTTCACTGAATGGGTTTGGATGGTCAGCAAGCAGCCAAAAAGGCAGAGATGCGGTGTTGATTTCAACTGCTGTCCTACAAGCAGAAGGTTCCAATTGAGCCTGGCGTTGAGAGCGCACACTGTTGCTTGACATTGACACAGAATGAGAGACTTTTGTTGTCTAGTATGGTAGACAGAATAATGCCCTCCCCGAGGAGGTTTCCTGATCCCCAGAACCTGCTAATGTACCTTATGTGGCACATGCGATTAAAATTAAAGGCCTTAAAGTGTTCTGTTATTTGATTATGCTAAATTATTCTTCCATCCTACTGCTGAATCACATTTAGATTATTTTTATTTGGGGCTCTTACCAAATATACAAATCCTTGAGTCCCTGTCTCTTGGCAGATATGCACAGCATTTCCATAGTGCATATGTCTAGAAGTGGAATTGCTTGGTTAGGGAGTATGCAGATGTCCTGATTTACTAGGTGATGACAGACTAGTGATAATCAAATGATAGAATACTTTAGTAACAGTGAATGGCCTACACTATACCCAACTTCACGTATGAATACATATCATTTTGAGAGAGCAAAAGAAGCTAAATGCAAGAGAATAAAGTTGGAAAATCAGCAAGACTAAGCTTACAATATTTTTATGGATGCATAATTAGAGGAAAAACTAAAAAACAAAAAAAACCCCCACAACAACCAGTAAGTTATTGCCGTAAACCTTTGGTTAAATCAGAGTGTAGAATGGGAGGTGGTAGGAATTGGGGAACACAAAATCCTAGGATGCTAACCATGTTCTAAGTTTTGATTAAGTGGTAGTTCTATTTGTGTTTACTTTCTGATACATCATGGAGCTCTACATTTATCTTTTATCTCTTTTTTTATATACATGTTTCTTACAACTAAAAGTTGTGAAATAAAAGTATGAAATAAAAAATATGAAAATACTAAAATTGGGGCACCTGGGTGGCTTAGTCAGTGAAGCATTGATGCTTCAGCTCAGCTCGTGATCCCAGGGTCGTGATATCAAGCCCTGACACGGGCTCTGCGCTGGGCGTGGAGCCTGCTTAATATTTCTCGCCCTCTGCCCCTCCCCTGCCCCCCCCAAGAAAAAAAGAAAACGTTTTAACACCTTAAAAATGATTGCTTCAGAGACCAAATCAAGAATATTTTAATGTTATTTAAAATAAACTAAATGTAACGAGCTATGTTTAAATGTAAAAAAAAATGTAGAAACTAAAGACAGGCAGAAAAGAAAAGAAAATGAAGGAGGAGGAGCCTGTGTGAGGCTGACGAGGCATGTGTTTTCTAAAACCAGCCACGACCCGAGAGAGAAAGTGCGCCTGGATTGCAGGTGGCAAAGCAGGTCTCTCCGCAGGGAAGGTGAAGTGAGCAGTCAGGGGTTTGGCACATCCCACTCACACTCTCTGGGAGAAAGGCAGGGAAGGGTCTTCATCAGGTGGATTTGACCTCATGCCCCTCACTCACTCTAGGCCCTATGGAGAAGCTGGCTTAATCGAGGAAGAAGCCAACCTGGGATTAAATGGGATTCAGATGAATTACCTCTAACAGGCTATCTCTGTGAACATGAAAGAGCATTATTCTTCCTATAACCGAGGCCAATGGATGCAGAACAAATGCTCCATTTCCTGGCAATAAACTTGAGATTCCCACGGAATCTTCCTGTGAGTGTAGGACTCCGCCAAGAGGAATCCCATGCCACTCTGTGCTCGTTATGGTGTGTAATTCACCCCCATAAAATGCTTTAGGATGAGTGTAAAAACAGTACAGTTCATTGGAATGGAGGTGCCGGGTAGCTTGTGCCCATAGGCTTCTCAGTTTAAATTAGAATTAGGAAAAGCTTGATATTGCACCTAGAATAATTTTAATTTCTTTTGCAACTTGATACTACACTTGTGGTCTTTCTAGGTCATTAAACTGTCAAAAGTTGAAATATTAAAATCTTTAAACGCTAAGGGTGCATACACTACATAACGATAAATAAGACACAAGTCAGTACGGGAGGAGGGGCCTCCTTGTTGTTGTCGTGGTGGTGGTTCGGTTATTTGGGAGACAGTTCGTTATTTGGGAAAAGTTTTCATCTTCGTCTCATACCATAATCTGAATAAATTCCAGCTATATCATTATTTTTAGTTT